ATTTAATATTGTTCATTGAACTTCTATTAATATACTACATATTCTTAATATAAAACCCATTAATTAATTTAGAATAATTAATAAAGTTATTAAATTACTTTAAACTATTTATATTTATTATTATGTTTCAAATTAATATATAATTTAATAATTCACATAATTATTTTAGAAAGATCATGTAATATATATCATAATTATATAATTTAATAACTTTCTTAATACTTTTAAATTCGTCAACGAGTCTTGTATCAAAAATCAGAAATAATATTAAATGTGTATTTGAAAATAAAAGAAAATAGAAAAGTAAGATTTTGACTAAAGAAGTTAAAAGTAAAAAACGGTACTTAATTTTCCCAATGTGAAAACGTTACAGGAAGTACACTTTATGAAAGTACAAGAAGAATTAAGGGCAGGGGCATGAATTTATGTGCAAGTGGGAATAAAAAATGAGTCCTAAATCTAAAGCACTCACTCGCCTTTTATGACGAGTACTTTGGGAGGCCTAATTATGGCCTCTACATTCATTCACAATGGATGGACCAAAACTCTTCTTCGGCAAAAATAAAAACGTTAGGGCATATCTTTTCTTTTGGGTAGATTATAATTAACCAACAAGAATTAATCTAATTAGCAAGAAGACAGCTCATGACTCATATAGTCGTGAGTTTAAATACTACTGCTGATATGAAAACATTATTAGTAAGTGATCTGTAAATACTTTTATAAGCGTTCTCACTTCTCAGAGTCTGGAAGCATGTTTTGACTTTAGTGAACCCTAAAACCCAACTCATTTAAATTTTTTGTAACAAAAAAAAGATAAATTATAATTTTTTTCAGTATCCTAACTAGGACTTTTTTGTGAAAAAAAAAAGTTGAAAATCCCTGTTTAAAATTTTTTATATTGCCTGAAAGAATATAAATCTGAATACCAGTACTTTTTATGTATAAAATCCTGCAGACTTGATATTTTCAGGTTCTTCTAACTAATAAAAATTTTACCAATTTTTCCTTTTTTCCCCTCTATGTCCGTTACAAATTAGTTTTTGCTGTCAATAAAAGATACTCCTGATCTCATGAAAATTTATATTTTTTGTTTTATTTTTTTGGATATTCAGGAAAAAGAATATAAAGCCGAAGATTCAAAACATGCAATAAAAAATAATACTCCGTTCCTTATTATAAGAGACATTTGATGCTTATAGCATGTTCCTATATATAAGAGACACTTACAAGTTGTTTCTATTTTTTTGTGTTGATTTACTATTTTACCCATATTTATTATCTCCAACTCACACTCTCTCTCCCTCTCACTTCTTTTTTTTTTAATAATTTAATTGTTCTCTCTCATGCTCTCTCTCTTTATTAATGAGAGCATTTTTGAAAAAAAATTATACTTTTTACACATTAATTGTTCTTAACTAATTTTAACTGTTTTTTTTATCAACGTATTTCGATTATTTGTCTCTTATAATAAGGAACGGAGTAATATTTTAAAATAAATTTTTATTATTTGTTATTTTCACTAATTTTTGGACGTGATTGTGACGAGTGTGGCGCTAAGTGTACGTACCGAAGTTGTTCGGAGAAAAATCAACGGTGGTAAGGCCACTTGGGCATGCGAGTCCAACGTATAAAAGAGTTGTCGTCATTTTCATGAAAAAGGTTCCTCCATTGCCCACTATTTCAGTCTTTCAAAGGTTGCTCAGTTCTTTCAAGTCTTGTTGCCCTAGTTATATGTTGCAAAAATTAATTATTTCTCTGTAATTCTAACTCAGTTAAAGCTCAATTTATGAATTTTGTCTTGGTCCAATATAATCATTATAATTTAAACTTTGCCTACATTCAACTTCTAAATTTTTTTTTAGTTGAGCTCAGAATATCAACTACTGCAGCAATGACTGATCCCCTCGTACCGTGGACTTATTCAACTTCTAAATTCTAATTCAGTTGGTAAATCTAATCATTTAAAATATTGATCCCTATATATTTTAGAAAATAAAATTATTTTTTGAAACTCAGTGACTAATATTTTAAGTGGCTAAAATTATGCCGATTGAGTTACACAGAATTAAAATGCAAGGGCTGAGATTCAATTGAGTCAAACATATAGGGACCAAATGAATAATTTTTATTATATATTTAAGCAAAATCTATCATAAAAAAAATATGGTTGTGTACAAAAACTTATTTTGACAAAAATTGTATTATTTATGAATTAGAAAAAGTGAGAATGCCCGAAAATTATATATATATATATATATTCTATATTAACATAGATATTAATGATATTTTTATATTTAGTAATAAAGTTAATGTTGTCAATTCCATGCCACCATCGTCCTGTTATTCCATTAAAAGCTGTATGTCCCTCTCTCACGGGAATGTGGACCTCACTGTGTTTTTGTCCACTCAATTTGGAATTTAAGGACAAAAATTTTCAATTTAGAGACAACGAAGAATCAAAGTATCATCATCGAGTTAAAAAAAACAAGCACTGCAGTACTACAGTAACGGGGATTGATTGAGTGTTACAGAAGAAACAAGTCCCTTGGGATTTGAATCTCTGTTTTTGAATTTTTATTAAAAGAGGCACCTACACATACACATACTTAATATCTGACTATATTTTCTGGTCAAAAAAATATCTGACTATATCTTAAATAAAATTGACATATCAATTTTTTTTCAAATTAATTAATTCTATTAGTATTCTCTCAATAATAATCAAGTAAGAGAGAGAGGAGAAAATTAAAAAAGATTATTAGGGTATTTGAGAAAAAAACATATCATATTAACTAATATTTTTAATTTACTTAAATTAGTTAATGAGGTCCTATATTAAGAATCGAAAAAATATCATGAAGTTAAACAAGTACTGCAATTCCTTCAAGTCAAAAGGGTTATAATTTTTCCCGTGATTCAATTGCCATAATTATTGTGTTTTATAAAATTAAAAGTCACAAAAATTAAAAAAAATGTTGAAAAAATTCTTAATTGAATTTGAAATTACTCCAATCTAAATTGAGAGCAACAATATTAGATAATTGTACAATGAATTTAACACCTAGCTTCTAGGAATGTCAACAATGGACATTTTACATTCATTCATTGGGCTGTACAAGGAATTGGACAAAATAGGGGTACTCTTGAGTCCTGTCTAGCATCTCGTCCTGGTAAATATGACGAGATATAATTTTCATCCAGGGTCCTCTCAGATCTGAATACTAACTTAATTTTTATTTTAATTTTAAATATAATATCACGGTTCACTTTATTTTTTATATTTATTTTTTTTATAGTTATTGTAGTTATGGTAGTTCTAACTAATACACATAACTATTAAGAATATTCTAGAAAAAATAACTCTTTTTTATTATAAATAACTAATTTAACTAATTTTTTTTAATTTATTCAAACTAATCAGCTTGTTCTTATATTAAAGATCTAAGGTAGTATGAAATAAGAAGGGGACCGGGAAGTTTTCCTAAGTTTCTTTTAAGAAAATTTGAGAACCTTCATTACTGCAACTTTGGCATTGTTAATGGCTTCTTGGCATTGAAACAGGGAGGGTTTGATCATGTAAGTTTATCTTTGTTTGTACTCAACAATATTTAAATTCTTGAATTTTTAACTAAAATCTTGTTCAATTAAACATATCATAAAAAATTATCATCAGGTTATTATTTATCCCATGCATTGCGAAAAAAAAAATCCATTTTTTAAAAAAGAAAAGCATGTAAGCAAATCAATTTTTTGAAAAGAAAAAAGAATTTTAAAAGACATCTGAAACTTTCTCATCCATTAGATGGATAAGTCCGTATGTCAGCCACGCTAGAAACAAATCAGATCTTCCATTTATTCATTCCTTCACTCATTTTCAACAAAGTCAAAAATATTATGTTACCAACAAAATTAAAGTACTTACCATATACTATTATTTAGATGGAATCTTTAACTTCCACGACTCAACCACTCTACAAATTAATTATTTTAAAAAATGTATAAAAGTATTTTTTTCCCTATTATTCTTTACTTTACAAAATTACATATATCTTTCTTTATTCATTCATATGCAAGAATTGATGTGATTCTCATCAGTTTCATGCCAACCATCCAAAGTAAGTGCTTTCAATTCTTTCCTTGTTTTATATTTGTCTCCATCAATCATTATCTTTTAAACTCAAAGTTATATTTGGTTTTCATTTTTAGATATGATTTTTTCTTAATTTATTTTTGTTCATAAATAATTCAAGGGCGCAAGTGTATTTCTTCCCCAAAAGACGTCAAGATAATCATATACAACTAAATCTAAACATTATTATTCTAGAATATTAGGGTGAGTAGAAAATAACTTTTTGAAAAGTTTAGTTATCACCTTATTCTTGACAATTTTGAATAATTAATGATATCTGTGGAATAGGTTCAATTTTATGATATGAAATATTCAAATAAAAAAAAACCGTCAAACATTAAAAAAAAATTATAACAACATTTTAGTGCGTGTGTGTGTATATGTATTCATCCATCGTGTATGGAGTAAAGTGACAAACCTAGTTTAGAAGAGTCTACCTTTCATCCTCTATATTTTGATAAAAAAATCAATTTCTAGTATTAGCAAAGGATATTCCAAATCTCTTTTAAAAACAACTGTACAGAGAATGGCCTGTAATGTGCGAGTAAGATATACTCCTCTGGTTTTATTTATAGGGTATTAAGAAATTTTTTTATATGAATATATAATTCTACCCCTCATTCATTATTGTACTGACTTTGTTTACATGAGATATAATGTATATTAAATAGGAATAAAATTAAAAATTTATTGAATTTTAAATGAAAGTTAATGAAGTTTAAGGTTTTTTTTTGTCTGTGTGAAATATATTAAAAGTGACTTATAAATAAGATCAAAGAAGTATGTTATAAATTTTATATTTGATAATGATGTTGATATTAATAAATGACATGTATTGGCAAAATTATATATATATGAAAAATTAAAATAACAAATATCAAACATTTTCTCCAAACTAATACAGTATCTATGTCCTGCATCATAGTTCAAATTACAACAAGAAATAACCATAAATAAAAGAGGAACACTGTCCTACATTTAACTGACGCCAATTGGTCTAAAAATTGTAATTAATGAGAGTAATAAAATTGCCATTCCCCATTTATGCATTTCAGGCTCCCTTGAAGCTGAGTTTGACTCTCTGAAACTGAGTCAACTCAGCCGAATCATCGCCCACAAAACTCACCCACCCAATAGGCTCCTCCAAAAAAAAAAAAAAAAGTATTCCTCAAATTGCTGAGTTTGACTAGCAAGTAACAACGCATAACTGCTTCCAAACAGGCCTGAACCGTCCTCAGCAGCTAGCCGTCGAACCCGGTTTGGCTCCACACTGCATCACGAACCCGCGTCATGTCTCGGCCCTTCAACGTCCGGCCTACTCCCTCAAAAACCGAGTTTGCCGCCATCTTCCGGCTCCGTGCATACTCACGAGCCAAATACTCGTGTGGGGGGACCATCTCCGATTCGTAGTCGTCGTCGGAACCGTCGTCCACCTCATGCATAGACTCCACCGAATTGACTCGCAGAATCTTACTCCAGTCCGGGACGTTCACCGGCGCCGATGTCGCCATGTGGTGGCCGCGAGGCGATGCCACGCTTTCATGCCCCCGATATTGATGAACAATCATCGACGACGTCGTTGCATTATCATCTGGGGAGTCTTCGAACGACAGGGACAAACCGCCGACGCGGTGGGTAGGGATTCGCCGCCTGCTCATCACAGAGCTGCTGCCGTTACACTCAGAGGTTGCGGTTGGCTCCCAATCTCTGAAAGGAGCACTCGCCATGTTCTCGCCGGCGTCATCTGCCGCGGACCAGACGTCTTCCTCTCCGAGCTCGGATGAGTCAGAGGCGTTAAACCCGTAGGTATGAGAGTTGGCGTAGGTTCCCAAGAAGCGCTCGCTTTGGCTAGTAGTCAATTTGCGACCCTTGGCCATGGACGGCGGCGGAATGGGATGGTGCCGGCGAGCTCGCCAAAATTAGAAGTCCAGGGCCATTGGAGGCTTGGACATAAGCGGAAGGGTGGAGATTGGACGTGTATATATAGAATTTTTTGTTTCGGAGGCCTGGTCCCACCATTTGAATTTCATTTGAATTTGAGGTTCATTTTCTCTGCATTTCGTCCAATTTTATTTATTTATTTGGTATAACTCAAAGTATTTTTAAGTTATTTTGAGGTTGAAACTAATCTTTATTAGGTCAAGGACATTAAGGTTAAAATCTTTCCAATAAACACACTTCTTAAGATTTAAATTTGTGTTTTTATCCTTACGAAAGTGAGACTGTTTACCGTATCAACCAATAGATTGTTGATATGTCTTATTTATTATTACTCCGAAAGTGAAAGTTGCAAATAAGAAGTAGAGGCTAGATTATACAATAATATCACCTTGGCTCCTAAATATAAAAATAAGTTGGTAATACAATTATAAATTAAATTTTATATTTAAAATTAGAGCTAATAGGTTTTTTCTAATAATTTTATTGAGGAGTTCTTTTATTCACAATTTAATATTTTTACATAAAAAAAGCATTTTTTTGTTTAATTGACCAATAGGTTCACTGCTTAAGAATTATAATTAATTCTTCTCATAAGTCCAATCAACTATTTCACGTTAATTAGTTAAAATTAATTATTTATTATAAAATTTAAATTTATTATCAACATAAATTATTATTCAAAGGAGTCTGGTTAATTAATTAAATTTTTTTACAATTAGTTAGACATAGCGAGAGAAAAAATATTTTAAACAAAATATCAATTCGGGTTAAACAAAATAATCTTCGGGCAAAATTTTGGGTAGATAAATCCAAACTTTATAATATTATTAATTCTTATAGTCTGATCAAATTTAAGTTTTAGTTCTTATATCTGCAAATTGTTAAATTTAGGTTAAAAAAATTATAAGACTATACTACTAGACGTGTTAAAATCATGATTAAATTAAATTGTGAGCATTAACCTTAGTCTAAATGAATAAAGCTAAGGAGGATGACAAATGGCAGTCCGTTAAATAGGTACAAGCTCTTGCCAGTTAAACCAAACATTTTGTGGTAAGAATTGGTTCTTGAAGAGGGTGTCTGAGCACTATAAAAGTGCTTTTTATGAGCATTTTTTAACAAATCATAACAAATTTCTTTACATATTTATTTTATATACCGTAAAAATACTTTTAAAACTATGATTTTGATTCTATCTAAAAGTATTTTTTAACAATGATGATATGGAGTTAGGTTATGTTGATTTTACAATACATAAACTTTATATTCCAAGAAAAATTATTGCATAATGAATATCTACGTGTTTAGTCATAGATTTTGTATTAAAAAAATGAATAAATGGATTGCCAAACAGATAATAATTATTAATTAAGATGATTAAGGAATGGGGGAGACTAAGTAAATATCCACGTGGATTAACCACAAGAAAAATAAAATCTATCGTGTTTGGAGGACGTCACAACGCATCAAATCAAGACCCCCACGCTCCACGTGGCTACTATCATTTCGCTATCTGTGCATGAAACCTCTCACCACCTACCACGTGTACGATTCCTGCTCAGATGGACCCCACCTCTTATTTTTAGAAAATAAAAAACATATATCATATGCTTGTCATGGTTACTTTTCGTCGTCTTTCCCTTTGCGCTGGTGGGACGTGCTGGATGAAAATGGTGATAGTAAAATTTAAAACGCACACACAGAGACTACTCCTTCACCCTTGTTATAAAAAACAATTATTAAAATTATGTGATTCCAAATATTAGTTAAATTTAGTCAAAAATAATAAATATATAAGAAATATATATTTTTATAATTATGCGCTTAATTAGAAAAAAAGTATATGAGAGATAATAACTGGAAATGTGTTGTATGAAGATAATAAGTGAAGAGACAGAATTTGTTTTGTGTATGTATTTAATGGAAGTTAAAATAAAAAAAAACTAATTGAAAATTTTAGATAAAAAATTTATTTCTTATATTTAGGAGCACTATTATAAAATAAATTGTTTATTATAAAAAGGAAATAGATGAAGTAGAATAATAAATAATCAAATGAAATGTGTGTAAAACTTTTCTACAGATAAAAATGTTAGCACAATGTATCAAAGGAAATAAAAACTCATTTGATTCTATTTATAATGCATTCGTAATATGTTTAACCAAAGCCAAAGAAATAATAACATCCCAATCTTGGAATGGTGAAAATTGGGAAGTTGAAGAGCACAACAGTCTACGTAATATTTCTCCGGTTTATAATACAAATCATTTACTAATTTATTAGAATTAAGAAATAATAGTTACTTAACTCATTAAATCTTTTTCACATTTATATTTTTTAATTTTAGCCATATTAAATGAGGCTATGAAAGAGAGAGAAAAATGCAATGGGCTACATTTAAACATTAATTGTAGTGGCAAAATTGGCAAATAAGGATTGATTACTGTTAAGGTAACTCATAATTTAGGCAAATCACTAATCATTCTTTTAAAAATGACTTATATTATGAATCAGAGGGAGAAATAAATTACAAATAAAATTGCAAATAGAGTAATAGACACAAGTAATACTATATTAAAATGCTCGCTCCTTTGGTCCTCTTTACATGGCAGAAAGAAAAAATATTTTTGGATCCTATTTATAGGGTAGTGAGAGAAATTTTTTGTATAGATGTATAATTTTACCTGCCATTTATTGTTATGTTAACTTTGTTTATATAAGGCACTACCTCTGGTCCTTAATATAAGACCTTATTTGACTTTTATTTTGGTCCTAAATATAAGACCCCAATCCATTTTGTCTCTCATATTTATGCATATTTTTTCAAAATAACCCTTCTAACAATAGTAGTTTTAGCCAATACACTTGATTAGTAAGGATATTTTAGGAAAGATAACACCTATTTGTTACAAATAACTAACTTAACTTTTTTCCTTAATCTCATCAAAGTAGTCAACTAGCTCTTATAATTAGGACCGGAGGTAGTATAATGTATATTAGATAGGGCTAAAGTTGGAAAGTTGTTGAATTTTAAATGAAAGTTAATGAAGTTTAAGGTTTTTCTTAGTCTGTGTGAAACGTGTTAGAAGTGACTTATAAATAAGACCAGAGAAATAAGATACAGGAAGGTTCAAACTTCAAAGCAATGATGGTATCATTGAATCGCTAATGCCAAGTACTAGTGGTAATTCCGTAATAATTGTGAACTTGTAATTAGGTCAAACAACTAATCCCACTCAAGTGACGCAATGAGGGGCGTTAATATCAGGCACATTGAGCGGTCCAGAGAAAGGTGGGGCCCACAATTGAGAAAATGAAAAGCAAGCAAACCCCACAACCAATAGGCTTAACCCTGGGCCAGGCCTAGCGGGCCCACTTCAAGTTTGGAAGTTTCCCCCAAATAACCAATCGTGCCCATCAAAATGCACTTCCACTCTATGTTAGTACTGCAAGTAACAGCCACTTTGACTGTGTCACTGAGCTAGTTTCATTTACATGGGCCTGAAATTGTGGCGTGGGCCAATGATTTCACCATGACCAGACCTTCGGGGCCCACATGGATTGGTTTAAAATGTTGAATATTCCAGAAGTGGGCCATGGGTCGGGGCCCAACTCTGGCTTGAGTTGGACCCATCGAAACAACCAAGCATCCTATGCTAGGCTTTAGCCTTGTAGTTGTTAATTATCATCATGACTTTTTTGCCCCTCCTTGTTTTCAGGCCAACTTGGCCAATGGTTCATGTTTTGAAAGGAATCTTAGTTAAGCAGCATTATTCTCCATGCTTACTAACTTTAGTCACCGGTATAAAAACTAGTTGGCATTTAACTTGGTTTAAAATATTATCTCTCAATTATTCTCGTCTTTATTTTTACCATTTTGTCCCAAATTAACTTATCAAACTTATAACTAACGTCTAATCTAATGTCACAGTGAGATATTTTAGGGAGATCGTGTCATATTTGTTCAAATTAATTAATTTATTTTATTTTTTTAATTAGGTAAGTAGCTCTTATACTAACGATTGGAGGGGGTATATAATTGATATATGTAGCAATTTTTTGGAATATTAAATTTATCAATCAATTGTTTGTATGATTTTTATGTAGCATTTTTTTTCAATTTTTGTAAAAGTTTCATTGAGTATCATCAAGAGTTGTTAGACGTTATATAGATGTAGTTACTCATCAGTTCATTTTAAAACTTGAATGAATCAACATACGTGTTTAGTTTATGGATGAAAAATAATCATAAGTTAATACTTGGAGAGGAATCATTATGGGCAGCTAAATCAAACTATTATTATTAATAATACAAACTGAATCATATCATATCACATAAAATCACATATATACTGAGGGAGAGCGTAATTGGGTCGTTTTCAAAAGAAGGAAACAGAATCAGAATCTTCAATTAGTTTAAGACTAAGCCGAAGGCAGAATATAATAAATTATAGCAAAGAAAACCCTATGCAAGTTGTATTGTGATATTACCTCCGATCTTTAATATAAGATCTTGTTTGACTTTTATTTTTATCTTAATTATAAGACCAAAATCCACTTTGTCTCTCATATTTATACTTTTTTTTTTCCAAGATAGTCCTTCTAACAGTAATAGTTCTAGCTAATACACTTGACTAGTAAGGATATTTTAGGAGAGATAACACATATTTATTACAAATAATTAACTTAACTTTTTTTTCTTAATCTTCTCAAATTAGTCAATTAGCTCTTATAAATAGAATATGAGGTAGTATCATGGTTTGGGATTGAATATATTAATTTGATTTTGTCTTGATCATATGGTATTATTACTAAACTTGTTCTCTGACGTCTGTACTTTTTTAAAAAAAAAACTTGTTTTCTCATGTCTACCAATGTTTTACGAGTCACCCTTCTTAATTATACTGAAGTTTCTTAATTACGTATATACATAGAGAGAGATTGATTTGAAAGTAGTGGGGGGGGGGAGAGAGAGAGAGAGACAAAAAGGCCCACAATTCATG